AAAATGCTCCTCCTACTCCTCCACCAAGCAATGCTAATATGAATAATGTTTGGCGAGCGATGCAAAGTCCACCTCCGCAAGCTAATTCTACGATTGCAAATGCCTGGCAAGCAATGCAACGTAGTCCTCCTCCACAAGCTACTCCTATGACTACGAATGCTTGGCAAGCAATGCTAAATGCATCTCCACCACCATCACAAGTGAATCCAGCTGTGCTCAACGCTTGGAATCGTGCTAATCTTGCATCACCATCAACGGCCAATTATTCCTCGATTCGCCCGCAAAATGCTCCTTACTCATATCCACCAAGAGGTTTAATACAACCAACTCCTATCCCCAATAGAGTACCTGCTCCAGCATCATTTGGCGCATTACTTGCTCAAGCACATAGACAAAATTTGCCTTATGCAGGAGCCGTATGATTATTCATTCATTGACTATTCAAACGAAATTATATTAAATAAAACTAAGGTTTCGAATTGATTTCAGACAGAAAAGTGAATGTATCTGATGTTTGTATTGGAAAGAATGCGATACAATTAGAAATATTATTGATTTACAATAATTGCACGAAGTTCATCTGACATTTTATGTTTTAACTCTAAACTTCTTAATTCTTTCGAATATTCAAAAAAAACTTATTTCGTTCACTGTTGATATATCAGTTATTGCATTTTAGATTTCTATTACTATGAATCAATAAAATATACTGTACTGAGGAGTTTACTAGAGTTTCTACTCTCAACAAACATTGACCATCGTTGACAAATCTGAATGCTAACATAAGCACGTGGTCTGATAGAACAATATTTAAGCTTTCATCATCAATATAATTCACCGTATATTGCAAAATATACATGATGTAATGCGTGAATTGCATAATCAAAATATTTATTACTCAATCCATTATTTATATGATAGTTTCTGAACGTTCTTTCTCATGTCTATTAAAACAAATCGATATATTTTCCATTTCAGTGAAAGATTCCGTTGAAAATGTTGAAGATACGTACATCTTTTTGATTTTTCTCAATTCATTGTTTTGTTTAGCGTACGATCTAGAATCCTTGAATGAGTTTCATTGAAGTTAATTAGTCCCAGTTTTTTTTTGTTTGAAACAACATGGTTAACTACGCAGCATGGCAGACCTTGATTTTTTTTTGTTAGTTAGCATTTAATTTATTGTATACAAAATTGCCTTGAGAAGAGACGCGATCTCCTGTTTTCATCATTTTAATGACGATATTGAATTTGTCAATCTGTCAATCAGCATCAAAAATAACCTAAGTATAAATAGTCTTTTCACAATATATGTCTGTTCAATTCTCGTCCACTTATAAATTACAGGAGCATATCAAAAATAGTCAACTAGAATGAGAATTTTATGCTCATGCTAAATATATTTTCAAATTTCTTTTTCTGATTTAAAGTTGGTTCATTAAGAGAAAATCTTTGATGAGGAGCAAAAACGACGTTAATACAAAATACTCAATTAAACGGTATTGGTAAATATGTTTGCTCATTTTATAGACACATTGATATCATTGAAGAGGATCAAAAATAGCCGTTTAGAACAAGAATATAATTCTCTTTGTAAATGTATGCTCTGAATTTTTCTGTCAGTCATGGTTGATTAATTGTGAGTAAATATCTAAAAAAAAATGTTGTTTGCACGAAATAAAAAAGGCTTTTTTTCTGTATGATATTTTGAGATAGTTTTAACTTTCTAGTGTTATAGAGAATTTAATTTTCTGAAAAAAAAAATTATAGGTTGTAATTCGATCGAATTCAAAATAATCAAAATCTATAAGTATCTTTCGAATAGCTACTCTTAAAGTAAGACAACATTTTTCGAAACCAAAAAAGATCGATTTTCTTCTCGAATTTTGATATTAAAATTCAACAGGCTCTGATCATTTGTAAAAATATGTAAACAAGAGAAGCTAATTGCACATTTTTTTTAGAAAAAGCCTTGCTTTATAAACTGATGTATAAAAAGATTTTCTTATAATTTGGATTTAGGTAGTTGTAATCAAACTACGAAAATGATGTACATGAAAAATTCTGCACTGATCTCGCTTTGGCTTTCATCAAAAATTCACTGTCAATCGACCTACACTAAATTCAGAAAAAGAAATCTCAATATATATTGAGCAATCATATTCTATCTGACTACTTTTGATTCTTTCCTGTAACCAATATATGGACGAAAATTTAACAGATATATTTTGCTAAATGTTTTTACACAAAGATTAAGAGAAGATTCGTAGAGATTTTTGGATTGCTAAAAATGAGCTATTTTTGAGTTTAGTTTGATGAATGTTTTCTGAAAACATCATGATATCGAGTGGAAAATATTACCAGAGACCTTCCACTGCAGTCTCACCGTATTCTGAAAATTTCGTCAGATCTGAATGTATCAGGACCACAATCAATTTTGGAGTGCACAACTTACGTGGACGCTATCTTTTCAGACCCAAAAATTTTAAAATATTTATTTTTGTTCGTTTTCTGATATTCTCTATCTACTGGACATATTTCAAGAATTAATATATAATTCTAGACGTCAAAAAAAAATGAAACAGTTTTGCTAAAAAAAAAACATTAAAATTTACATCTTACTTTGCTGATTTTGAAAAGCAAGTTTTTTGACAAATAATGTTGAGAATCATCCTCATTTTCTCAACCACAACACATTTGATCGAACTGAAACATTTTTCTACTTATACTAGAAAGTGTTTAGGGTGTCTACTTGGTTTTTTCTTTGTTTCAAAATATAATGTACTGCTAGTTTTTGGCAAGATTCACACAAATTAAGTTCCAGTAAAAAAAGCACGAAAAAAATTAGGCATTCTAAACAGTATCTGGTATTTGGAGAAAAATTTCAACTCCATTAGACGTATTGAAACTGAGAAAAGGTGCAGCGATTAAGGAGGTGAATGGTTTTGGGGCCCGTGCAACCTCAATATCTGCTAAAAGGAGTACAGATTTTGAATGTATGACAGCTTCTGTTCTTCGCATCGAAATATATGTATCTTGAAAGTCTCAAAACTTTCTGATGAACTTTTCCCCCAAAAGTGCCAAAAAGGAGGGGGGGGGGGAGGAGAAGGCTTTCTTAAATATTTATTTTTGATAAAAGAAATTTAATCGTTTTTATTATATTTGAAGTACAAGAAACAAAAATCAATAGCAACATATATACTAGAACACACACGAATTAAGTCAAATACTTTTGTTTACAGTTTTTCACGTGAATTTGTTTGCTTTAAGTAATGTTAAATAACTAACCACGCAGCCAACCGTTGTATATGGTTTAGTTTTTAGAAACATTACATGAAAACGATATTGCCCTGGTGTAATTGATTGGGTAAGTTTAGCACTTTTTTTACGTTTTATATGAATAAGAAAATGTTCAATAGTATATGTACCAATGTCAAGATCGCAGGAACATGAGTTTTTATTATCTTTAATATTCGGTCGAATAAAACTCTTGTTTTTACATGCATTTTGAATAAGACCACAGAATGATTGTTTTTCACAAGCACTAGTGCCTGCTAAACATGGAAGATTAATCCAACTAGAACCTAATTTTCGTTGAACTTTTATTGAAAATTCTATATCATTCGAAAGTTTTTTTGTTACATTCAATGACATTAAAAAATCAAGTGTGCCAGGAATAGATAATTCATTACTCCAAATATTAAATGATAAAATTTCAATATGAGGTGAGGATAATTTTGTGGCTTCTTTACGACAATTAAGATCAACATCATTCATTTGTACTGTATAAGATAAACTAGATATTGGATGAATAAATAAAAATAAAATCAATATAAACATCATGTGATATTTGTAGTGTTTCGTGTATTACGGTAGCAATGGTAATAACAAACTACTTCGAAGGTTTTTTTGTCTCCTTCTCGGTCTCTATTTGACACAGTATACAAATAATTAGTTTGCATCTTTCCAATATAAATATGCGTAGTTTGTATAGAATAGATAAGTATATATCAGTCATCTATCTATACATGAAAGATCTTTATCTATGTATGAGAAAAACTATCTATACAACTGATCCAAAATTTATCTTCGCAATTACATGTACTAACAAATAATATATTGCTGTATTATGAAAGGCTAAACTATTAATAGCTCAGAAAAAAAATGTTATAGACTTCTATTATTTGTGTCTGTTTATAGAATCAATGAGATTTAATAAACATTTATCAAAGAAAACATAAAAATGAATATAAAAGCTAAATTTTTCGGAAAAAAAATTAGTTTAAATCATACTATCATAAAAATGAAACGATCTATTTATATTTGTTCTTGGAAAGTTAGGCGTCTGTACTTTAACTATAATGATTAAAAATCTTGGATGTGAAAAGAGTTGAGGATAGAATTATATTTGGTTTAGTAAATTGTTCAAGTTAAAAGAAAAAGACGAGTCTTAATAGAACATCATCAAGATCATATCATGCTGAGCTTTGTATTACATCACTTACATTGAATGAATTTTAATGAAGAATCAATTCTAAGTCATATGTACAGAGAGATGCAACTCATGTTCGTTTACTGTTCCAATTTTATTTATTAATTATGTGGATATTTGCAAGTTAGTCGGTAATATATGATTAATGACATGTCAAAATTGTTATGCGAGTATTAATTGAACATCAATCAAAAACTTAATAATATATAATGATGAATACTTAGATTAATGTTAATGGTGTTTATCGAATAGAAAATAAGTGCTTGCAGCTTATTGACATAGCATATAAACAAATATTTTTCATTCGTTTGTTTTTTGCTGGTTATGACCAGAGGATTATCTGTTGTAATATTCATTGTTGCGTAACGTTGATAATATAAACAAAAATCATCTATTGTAACGTTGTGCACTTCTACAAGAGATTATTTTGACTGTTTGTTTTATTGACGTGGATTTTTTTTCTAGATAATTGTTATACCAAACGAACCGAAGACTAGTCGTGAATTAATATGACAATAAGATAAATGGAAAAATAATAATCTAAAATATCTTCGAAGGCATAGAATTTCAAATTTAAAGAACTGTCGAACAAATTCATTAAGAGAAATATGAATATTAAGAACGTGAACAAGATATAGAATCAAAATCATAGATATTTGAAAATAAATTCTGTAATGAATAAAACATAATATCAAACAGATTCAATATCATACATCAATAGAACAACAATCGTTTATGAAAAAATCTTTCTTATTAGACTACAAAAAAAAAACGTTGTATTCAAGGAAAATAAACTATGAATAGTGAAGTAATTCAATGAATATATACATGCAATAATCAATTGATAGATATTTTCGTCTTTCAGAATTCAAAAATTTAAAGATTACGAACAGTAAATTTATAAATCCAATCAAGTTTACAAAGAACTTCGAACAATAAAAATTATCATCGAAATTCATAACAACTAATTATGCTACATCTTAATTTCATGTAATATTACATTTAGAATATGCATTTCTCATATCTTCTCTTGATAATTATGGATGTTTTTCGTAATAATTTGTAATAATTACTCTAATTGTAATTGTTTTCAAAATCAATAAAATAGTATTCCTTTCTTATTTCGAATATATAATGGCCGGAAGTCTACTACAAAAATACAAGTCATAGACTGCCCAAAGACTAATTCATCTATGTGGAGTAATGGAATTCATACAATCTCCTTATATGCTAAATGTTGTTAAAATTAAAAATGATTTGCATGAATAAGTATTAAAAAAACAAGACAAACAAAAAAATAATAATATTGTATAAGTCGACAGCATTTTGTTTCTATATTAACGAATAGGATTATGATTTTGGTTTGAAAAAGTTTGATTAAAATCTTACGGAAATCTGGACAGATACTCGTTGTTATCGATATTACATTAATTGAAACTTATAATAAAATTTACTTTCTATCTTGTTTTTACAAACTTACAGATGCTCCTTTGATTTCGAATCAACATGAACAAGAAATCAAAAAAGGCAAATCGAATTACTCTTAATCACTTAATAGATAGTATTGATAGTATTTTCGTATTGATTCAACAGCTCGACAAGTTTTATAGTAATAAATAACCTAAAGAAATGAGACATCGTGAATCAATGACAAATAAGATGTGGTGAACACAGAATTCTAGTGAATTCGATTTTTAATCTATTTATGTATGGTTTCATAGAGCTTGACGAGTTGATTACCAATGTATATCCTTGCTATTTCAATTAGATCACTTCGTCGCTAGAACAAAAACCCTAGAAAACAATAACATTAAATATATGACCGACAATCATATCTTTCACAAGAGATTTCTAGTTTTTTGTTATATTTTTTTCCTAGATTCTTTGAAAGAATTTTATTTACTTAGATTCAAGATTATTAGACTAAAAAATTTTATTCATAATTAGTAGTATTAATAATTCTAAAATATTATGTATATTCTTATAATCTATGTTCATCATTTACAAACTGTACTTGTTAAAATATTGCTGAATTTACAAGTCTATACTTTTACTATTTCAAATATTCTCTTCTTAGTTTTAGTTGTCTAGTTGATAGATTAAATATTGACAGTTATCCTATCAGATTACAACAATATGCCTATTAGATGAATATGAACCTTTACTAGTAGTCTGATTTCATCAATTGTTTATCTAGATCCATCCTGTCATCGAATATGAACTGTATAATTAGTTTGTTATCGATCTTTAACCTTTCACCATCTTCCAGTGATCGATAAAATATCTATTAATATATATCCTATACAAAGGACAAGTCCTTGTGCATTTTTGAAACGAACATAATAAACCATAAAATCGAAACTTATTTGATTGGAATATATGGCTGATTATGTGTAGTTTTTCTATCTATTACAATACTTGCTTATTTTTTTATTCGAAATCAGAGCTGCCGACCTAGCTCTTATATTTTTGAAATCAAACGTTGATGCATCGCCTTATTATTCGAGAGTACTTGAAGAAATTCATTCGATTCCAGCAATAAATGCTTGAATCAGACATCAATTTAGTGTTGTAGGACTTACACCGACTGTTAGAAGAACCTGTTTAGATCCAAAAACAATTGGATAATACTTTTTGCTTTCATAATGTTGCGAAAATTGGTTGCCAAATGTAAACGTCCTTGCCTTTTATGATAAGTATCACTTATTCCCTACATTTTCGTTGCGCATTTTCTTTCACGTCTTCGTTATATGCCTAATCATATGTTGTTTTTACTATCATGAATATATTTTTTCGATTATACGAAACAGAACTAATATGGTCAAAAACATGACGTGTTAATTCAAGCCTTTCTTGTATGAAAAAATATTTATTATGTTTGTTTTTTTGTTTTAATTTGCTATTTCATGCAAGAACTTATTATTATCTTATCTTTAGAGAAATAAATTAAGTGAATAACTGGAACTACTATCGGTTTCAAATTATAGTGCGCGTGGTTGTTTTTTGAATAATTCCCGAATGGAAAGGGTTTGAGAGCTGCGGTTTTCACCGTTCGAAATAGCACACTCAGGGGCATCAAAGCATGTTAAAATTTTATTGGTCAGCAAT